ATTATATGTAGAGGTAACATTATATGTAGATTGTAACATTATATGTAGAGGTAACATTACATGTAGATGTAACATTATATGTAGATGGTAACATTACATGTAGATGGTAACAATATATGTAGATTGTAACATTACATGTAGATGTAACATTATATGTAGAGGTAACATTATATGTAGATGGTAGCATTACATGTAGATGGTAACAATATATGTTTATGGTAGTATTATATGTAGACTTTAACATTATGTTTTGATGGTAACATTATGTTTTGATGGTAATATGATATGTAGATGGTAACATTATATGTTGATGGTAACATTATATGTAGATGGTAGCATTACATGTAGATGGTAAAATTATAAGTAGATGTAACATTATATGCAGATGGTAATATTATGTGTTGTTGGTAACATTACATGTAGATGGTAACATAATATGTTGATGGTAACATTATGTTTTGATGGTAACATTACATGAAGATGGTAACATGATATGTAGATGGTAACATTACATGTAGATGGTAACAATATATGTTGATGGTAACATTATATTAAGATTGTAACATTATATGTTGATGGTAACATTACATGTAGATGGTAACATAATATGTTGATGGTAACATTACATGTAGATGGTAACAATATATGTTGATGGTAACATTACATGTAGATGGTAACATGGTATGTAGATGGTAACATTACATGTAGATGGTAACAATATATGTTGATGGTAACATTATATGTAGATTGTAACATTATATGTTGATGGTAACATTATATAAACATAATACCAACACTCGTTGGTAAAAGTTAACTTTATGAACTCGTACTGCTATAATTGATATCAAAACACATTTGGGTGACGTTATCTTTGAGTCCACCTCTACTCTTAAGATAATCCCGGATTCCACCAGGCAGGTTCCTAAGCAAACCCCAATGAGAACTTTCTTCATTCTATCTCATGCAGGACAGGGCCATGTTTGTTGAGGCTGGTCGATAGTTGCTGACCAAATACATCCCAGACATGTCCGATGGGTGCCAAGTCTGGACTGAGTGCTGGTCAGAGTAAGGGGGCTGTGTTTTCCAGATACTCAGTAGCAATACGAGTTATGTGTTCTCCTGCATTGGCATCAAGAAGCACAAAGCGACGTCCATGTCACAAATGACAGCACGTATGCCTCCAGAGTGTTGTCACGGTAGCCGTTCCCAGTGACATGTCACCCAATATTGTAAAGGTGTTCTGCCAATCAGTGATCTCATCCTACGCCATTACCTACACATCATTTCCTTAGACACCTTGGACTCAAACGTGCATTAAATGAATATGTAAAGAAGAGAAACTTCACCTTCCATAATGTGAACAACATACTTGCCTTACCTATCTTCCCCTGCAACATTTCCAAAATAAATTGAAGTAAAGGGAGTAAGCATTACTACCAATCACTATGCCAATTTATATTCACTAAATCAACCGGTCAACTTCAATGGGAAGAGGAATTTAAAAAGATTTCAATAGAAGGGAAAATATCTATTTAATGGCACTTCGATGTACACAAAGTGTTAATTTAAAATGGCTTCAGTACATGAGTATTCAGACTATTTTGACAAATGATAACTTTCTGCATAAGATTAGATATATTGATTCACCTTTATGTTCTTTTTTTTAAAAGGTACCTGAGAGTGTTGTACATTTACTTAGTGACTGTATTCATTCAAACAGAGTGTGGAAAGATTTGGCTAAATGGTCAGAAAAGGTGGGAGAAGGATATATTAATTTCACATCAGAAGATATTATATCTGGATTCAAGGAAAAAACAATAAGCCCTTAAACGTTATCTGCTTAATTTAAAACAACATTTTATATAAATTAAAATATGAGCAGAAAGGGATTATAATCCAATTGTAAATGTATAAAAAGCCATTTAATACTAAAATACTATCAGGCATGGAGATCCATTTCATTTACATATAGTAGTCAATGTTCCTATGGTTTTGGTCATTTTTCCACAATTTGCTTACTGATGTACAAATATATAATGTATAAGCTATAATAGTTGAATATGCTAAAATATAATAGATGAGAACATTACAAGCTATTGTATGATCTATAAGTATATTTTATATGAACATGTATGACATAATGTATATCTCGGAAATAAGAAGATAAAAATGAAATAAAAAATACGTACACATCATGAAAAACGCTTTTTATGGGTGTTCTTGCACGAAACTCACGACACGTTGTGAATAAACCAATTAGTTTCTTAATCCATATACAATCATTAACTTGGTAAGCAATACATTGGTTAGATGGCGACTGACGGGATCGGATGATCAGGCTCGCTGACGTGGTTTGTCATCGTATCCCAATTGCGTAGATGATGCTCATGCTGTTGATCGCTGGATTGTCTGGTCCAAACTCGATTATTTACAGACCGCCGTCATAAAGGTGGAATATTGCTGAGTGCGGCGACGTTAAACGACCAAGCAAACAACCAACCTTCTGAAAAGTGATGGCGAGAGGTTACTGAGACGCTCGTAAAATCCCGAGGTTTAGTTGTCTGCGCCACCAGGAGTACCTTAGTTACCCATTTGCGTTGGTCCATCCTCATGATGTCAATCACTAGATTGTCTGCACGAAACTCGATTGTTTACAGACCAACGTCAAAGAGCTGGAAAATTACGGCGTTAAAAAACAAACAAAGCCTGTAAGTAATCACGGACCAGTCAAACCAGTGATTGATATTATAAGTATCTGATCCGACGGTCTTGTGTAGCACACACCCTACTCAACATGTATATGTGAAGGAATGTGTTCTTTATTTACATCCTGCACTTATCCCCACTCTTCTAAAGTCAGTTCAGTAATTCGATTCTTGCAAGACCATGATGAAAGAATGTCCTGCACGGAGATATTTTACGAACGCAGCCGATACCCCTAAGTCTTACTTGATTCCGTTTCTCAGTTTTACATCACCTTATAGCCGATGTCATCGGATCCCAATTGCGTAGATCGATGCTCATGCTGTTGATCACTGGATAGTCTGGTCCAGGCTCCATTATTTACAGATCGTCATCATACTGCTGGAATATTGCTGTGTGCGGCGTTAAACAACAACCAACCAACCAACCAACCAACCTCTACCCAAAGCATAGAAGAGCTGAGTATAAATGAGGAGTGGTGTACGTCTTAATCAGTTTGAAAAATGATTTACGTATCGCATTTTCATCACCAGATTTACAATATGCTCACTTTTCATAATCAGCAGACCAGCTTCATAAATAGTGTCAATGCTTATATGGCGACGGGGGGACTAGCACTTTGGGGAAACAAGAAAAATATCGCCTTCACTGTTTGAGAATGTTTAATACGCACGATTTTTACAACAATATACATAAAAAGCGGATCACACGTTCAGAAATCACAAGTACAATGATAAGCAGAGATGCGGGCTCAAGCATACATGAGATGAGGTGAGCTCCAGCTTTACCTCCGAGCGTTACCAACGGACGGTAGCCGTGAAGATCCTGGTTAGAGTTCGCCCTTAGCAACCCACCCATTCCTGTCGTAAGAGGCGACTGGCGGGACAGGCCGGTCAGGCTCGCTGACTTGGTTGACACATGTCATTGTATCCCAATTGTTTAGATCGACACTCATGCCGTTGATAATTGGATTGGGGGCGATGGAGTAGCCTAGTGGTTAAACCGTTCGCTCGTCAGGCCGAAGATCCGGGTTCGATTCCCCACATGGGTACACTGTGTGAAGCCCACTTCTGGTGTCCCCCGCAGTGATATTGCTAGGATATTTCTAAAAGCGGCGTAAATCCGAACTCACTACTCACTGATCACTGGATTGTCTAGCCCAGACTCAATTATTTACAGATCACCGCCATACAGCTGGAATATTTTTGAGTGCGGCGTTAAACAACAAACAAACAAACGGAAGGCTCATCCTACCCACGCCGTCCCAACACAAGCAGATAGAATACTGGACTGGCTAGCGATGTAGTCGCAAACATATGTATATAAATTGAAAACAGTGTACAGATGAAGTGACGATGGAGTTGCACTTGTCATTGTGACGTGTGGGCGTGATTAACGACAGGGGACATTCGTGTACGAAACATTAATTGTTGAAAGTGGCAGATGCACGGGCAGGCTGAAAATGTATAATGATTTGTTGATTTTGAAGGAGGTTAACGTTCAAGAAATAATTGAATAGTTTCACATGTCTTGGCTACATAGCACTAACCTTGGAATTATCAGGAGACAACTTTAAGGCTGGCCTCAGTCTGTCGGTATGATAAATATGTAAATTGTGACATCCCTTACTAATATACCTGGCTATTCCATGCATGCAATCATCAAGCGTGGATCAATTGGTTGGTGTGTATGATAGTGGATTGATGGGAGGATGGATAGAGGGATGGGTGGATGGATGGATGGGTGGATGGATCGGTTGTTTGTAGGATGCATTTGTTGGGGTTGTAGATGATTTGGTTGGGTGCTGGGTGCATGGACTGTCTGGTATATGAATGGTTGTAGATGATTTGGTTGGGTGCTGGGTGCAAGGAGTGTCTGGTGTATGATTGGTTGTAGATGATTTGGTTGGGTGCTGGGTGCAAGGACAGTCTGGTGTATGATTGGTTGTAGATGATTTGGTTGGGTGCTGGGTGCAAGGAGTGTCTGGTGTATGATTGGTTGTAGATGATTTGGTTGGGTGCTGGGTGCAAGGACAGTCTGGTGTATGATTGGTTGTAGATGATTTGGTTGGGTGCTGGGTGCAAGGACTGTCTGGTGTATGATTGGTTGTAGATGATTTGGTTGTTTGGGTGGTGACTGCTGGAGTGGTTGGTTGATGGATGGGTAGATTCATCAGATGACGGATGGATGAGTTTATGGATTTGAGTACTTCTGAACCAACAGCAAGCATAAGGAAACTGCTGAAAATATTCACTTTTAAGTTATTCAGTGTAAAAGAAAACTGTCTATGGCCCACATCATTGACTCTGAACCAAAGCTGCAATACACTCCTCATCCATAATTCCACAATGATGTCAAACAAGGATTGGATTCGAAAACACACGAATATACATTGACATATATTCAACGTCAATAACCCACAACTGTTAGCCTCAGGGGCATTATATTCTTTCTTGTCAGTTACATGTCACGTTTCAGGGTACTATCATATAGATGGATATCCTCCATGGACCTCCACACCTGCTGCCGGAATCACCTGGACATGTCTTGGGGCATTCATTGTCTCCCTTCTTGCTGTACCCACTTTTGATTTCGTTACCACAGAAACATTCGGTTCCATCCTGGAAAATAAAGTTATAAATATGTTCATAATTATTACTACATAAATGATAAGATATTAGAAATAACAAATATGTTCATAATTATTGATATATTGTATGGTAAGATATTAGAAATAATAAATAAGTTCATAATTATTGCTATGTTTTATGGTCATATGTTAGAAATAATAAATATGCACGTAATTATTACTATGTATTATGATAAGACGTTAGAAATAATAAATATGTACATAAGTATTGCTATGTATTATGTTAAGACGTTAGAAATAATATGTACATTCTTGTTACTATGCATTATGATAGAATGCTAGAAATAATAAATATGTACATAAGTATTGCTATGTATTATGATAAGACGTTAGAAATAATATGTACATTCTTGTTACTATGCATTATGATAAGATGTTAGAAATAATAAATATGTTTATAATTATTGCTATGTATTTTGGTTTAAAGTTAGAAATAATAAACATGTACATAATTATTAATATATACATTGTATTATGGTAGGATGCTAGAAACAATAAATATGTACATACATGTAATTATTAACATGTATTGTGGAAATGATAAATATGTACATAGTTAGCATGTATTATGATTTGAGATAAAAATATTTTCCATACACAGATGTACTCATGTATATATTCAATTCCAAAGATTCTTTAATCGCAATCAAGTGTTCAAAATTTGTCAAAGAAGCTTATGTGTTCCTCATTATTGTGATAGTATACCCTTCATCTGTTCAGCTTCAGAACTAGCACCACGCTGTATGTATTTATTGTTTGTAATGAATTCACTTGGACATTTGGTCTCTATACTGAATAAACTCTCGTCTATGTACAGCAGCACGTTCTAAGTATTGCTGCTTCCCGTCAAAGCACAAAGTAACATCTTGTAGCTAGGTTCTGGATTTGCCTTTTCGGGGAGGTGTACGCGATAGTTATACTCAAAGAAAAGGTGTACTCAAAGGTATACTCAGCAAAAGAAGTTAAGGATAATTTCGGGGATACTTTTCATGAAAATATTTCTTTAAACCATCTATGATCTATAACAATTTGTATCATTTTCGGATTATATGATTTTGCTCTCGTTATAGTGAGGTGGGATGCTTCTCGGAAATGTTGTAAATAGTTGGTTAGTGCCGTGTTTTTCAGACAAAGTTTTACTTTAAGTGACATGTTTTCTAATTTTTATGCAATAATTGGGGGGACAATGTTTTGTTGTTTAACGCCGCACTCATGGGGATGGACCAACACAAATGGGTAACTTAGGTAGTCCTGTTGTCGCCAACAACTGCTAAACCTCGGGATTTTACGATCGTCTCAGTAACCTCTCACCTTTACTTTTCAGAAGGTTACTTGGTTGGTTGTGGTTTTTTAACACTGCACTCAATGTAATCTGGACCGAACAATCCAGTGATCAATAGCATGAACATCGATCTACGCAATTAGGATACGATGACATGTGTCAACCACCCGATCCCCTTAGTCGCCTCTTACGACAAGCATGGGTTGCTAAAGACCAATAATAATTCGTATCTTCACGGGTGGGAAAAGAATGGTGTTCCTGAGCGTCCGAAAATCCATTACACGAGAATATAGGTTTCAGGGATAGTTGCCCTGTCTTTCTCATTTCATGCCAACCGTGTAGAATAATGTTTACCTACCCTCAAAATATTAGAATGAACTTGGTGATGTCACTTCAGAAAGGAAGAGTGTTTCTTCACCAAGGAATGGTTACATGTTCCATGATGATCAATCTCTTATCTTAATTTGAAATCAGTTAGCCATACATTTTAAACAATTTTGAGTGTGTGAGTTGGGTGTTACGCCGCCTTTAGCAATATTCCAGCAATATCACAGCCGGGGAACACCAGAATGGGCTTCACACATAGTACCCATGTTGGGATTCGAACCCGGGCCTTCGGCGTGACGAGCGAACGCTTTAACCACTAGGCTACCCCACCGCCCCTTCAAACAGATGGAAGGATACTTGAAGCAGCACTATGGTATGGTTGGTTGTCTCTTGACGAAATAATAACTTTCGTGACCCTTTTGTCAAAGTAAAATACCAGTAAGCATTTTTTTCAAAACGCCCCATTAAAGATTTAGAGGTAACAGTACAGTTTTGCTTTACTTAAAAGAAGAGATTCTGAGATGCGACCTACCTCAATTCCAAAGTGGGAATAATTGCCATAGCAATTCAGCATGCATTTCTCAGATGTCATAGTAGACCTATCGACCAAGTGACCGTATGGAAGAACACGGCCCCAATCATCGAAATAACACCCGATATACGTGCCGCATTCTGTAATAACAATAATTATTACAATTAGAAGGAAGCGTGTCAGGAAACATAACTTCAACAGACAATATTACACTCTCTCTTGGTCCGATGACACATACTACTTACCTTTCACTGATCCTGAGACGTTCACCAAAGTGCTTGTCTGAATACACAATACAAATACAGAGTCTTTCAGATCGTGTGTCATTATACTGGACATCCAGTTATATTAATTACGTGGATCAGAAAGGGGCCAAAAAGATTGTTAGGGCTTCAAGGATCAATAGTTGCTTTAAAGAAGATGAGGCTTAAGAAAAGTATATTTATCAAGCAATAAAAACTTTGAAAATACTGAAGTCGAAGGATGAGAGTGATAATGATGAGCCATCTCAAATAAAAAGAAAGGTTCCAGAAAGTTCTAGAAGGGATCGGTACCATGGGTCCGTGAATACGATCATGCCATGCATAAGAAAATAACTGTCCACTTTAGTGACATATCACACAAGACTGCCAAAACGTGTTATTAAGAAATCAAAATCAAAATCAAATAAACAACAGGGTCTGATTGTATTCGAAAATGTTCCCAAGTGCCCAAGCATTATTATGTCACTGTTTCAGTGACGGTGGGGTAGTCTAGTGGTTAACGCGTTCGCTCATCACACCGAAGACCCGGGTTCGATTCCCCACATGGTGATTACCGCCCTGATATTGCTGGACTATAGCTAAAAGAGGCGTAAAACTAAACTCACTCACTGTATCAGTTCGCTTATGGATACAGGAGGTGTTCCTCCATGGTTCGGTAAAGGCAGCACAATGCTCCTTCCCAGGAAAGCAGAGAGGTTCACGTATCTCGAAGAGACGGGGGGAAATACAACTTTTACAGGGCGTATGACAAACCTCGTGTCACTGCACTGCTGTTCCGATATTATGATTTTTAGAGATCGGAACGGGGCGAGGAAAGGATGTTTGGAATGCAAGGGGATCAAAATATATTTTGGAAGAGGCCGAAACATGTCACTGTAACCTTGACTACAAGAGCTCATGAGTGGATTCTGAAGTCACTTGGTTGTACTGACATTCATTTATTCAAGTCTTTACTGAACTAGAGAAGTTGATGAGGCCAGAGTCTATTCCAATCAAAAGGGGAATATTCCAAGGATACTTGCTTTGTTCGTTGCTTTTTTGTTTGTTTTTAACTCAAATGGATTTTCTGCTCAATAGGGAGGAGAGTTACCGGCCTAACCTGACATGTACAACACAGTTCCCCAACAGCGCTGGCTCATCTCCTTTACAAAGATTACACCGCGCTCCGACACCAATCTGAAATGGCAGGTTCTCCTTGTCGAGACCAGTTCTAATGACATAGGCATGATATTTGGACTCTGCATATGCAATACTTATCTTTGGAATCATGCCAAGGTAAATAATTATGGTTTGGTCAAGTGTGTGTGTGTGTGTGTGTGTGTGTGTGTGTGTTTGTGTGTGTGAATCTAGACACCAGAATCTAGACACCAGAATCTAGAGACAAGAATCTAGAGACAAGAATCTAGACACCAGAATCTAGACACCAGAATCTAGAGACAAGAATCTAGAGACAAGAATCTAGACACCAGAATCTAGACACCAGAATCTAGAGACAAGAATCTAGACACCAGAATCTAGACACCAGAATCTAGAGACAAGAATCTAGACACCAGAATCTAGACACCAGAATCTAGAGACAAGAATCTAGACACCAGAATCTAAAGACAAGAATCTAGACACCAGAATGTAGAGACAAGAATCTAGACACCAGAATCTAGAGGCAAGCATCTTGAGACAAGAATAATTCTTTACCGTTGTTGTTTACTGACAGACTCGTGACTGCACAGTCGTACGTCATAGTAGTCATTGGAGTTGTTGTAGTTGTAGTGGTACTTGTACTTGTACTGGATGTGGAGGTTGTTGTCACGGTCGACGTAGCAGTAGAGGTTGTAGGCACGGGTGTAGAAGTTGTAGGCGCGTGTGTAGAAGTTGTAGGCACGGATGTAGAAGTTGTAGGCACGTCTGTAGAAGTTGTAGGTACGGTTGTAGAGGTAGTAGCAACCGAGGAAACACCTGGTGTCGTTGCCACAGCAGTGGTGGGTGAGTTTGTTGTAGTTAAAGCTTCTGTTGTAGTGGCTGTAGGCGTCGATTGGGCAGCTGTCGACTGGGAGGGTGTGGCAAGTGTTGTCGTCACGGGAGTTGCAGGAGAAGTCGATGGCACGTTGAATGCCGATGTTTCGGTGGATGACGTTGTGACTGAAGTTGTGCTAGCTGTTGAAGCTGTTGTTCCGAGAGTCATCCCAAGGCAAATATGGGTCGATCCTGCTTCAACAGGAACACAGATCTGGTGGATACCACAAACTCGACTTCCACACATGTCTTTCCGAGGAGTTGCCTGTAAACAAAAGTCACATTGTTTGATTCATGTCATTGCGTTCATTCACCTTTCCAAACATCTTTATGCACGTGACACTGTCTGCATCTATGCTGTCCGTAGCACATGCTTCTGAAAAATATTTACACTGTCCACCGTTACACCCTTATGCACAGTATATAAACTGATGTCATGGCAATCTTGCTTTGCATTTGGGTGATGATGTCCTCCTCAGCGCGGAACCTGAGTTTGACACATCCCCAATCGTAAAGAAAACCTGTTCTCTAGGCCCTGCCTCCCGAGCATATCCACCCATGGAGATCTGGGTTAGAACTGATCTTCAGTAACCCATGCTTGTCGTAAGAGTCGACCAGCGGAATCGGGTAATCAGGCTCGCTGGCCTGGTTGACACATGTCACCGTAGTCCAGTTGTGTAGATCGATACTCGCTGTTGATAACGGGATTGTCTGTTCCAGACTCGATTATTTACAGACCGCCGCCATATAGCTGGAATATCGTTGTGTCCGGCGTAAAACTCACAAGTATAACCAAAATGTTTTAGCGTCAAAAGTCGTATCAAATTTTAAGGCGTGGGATGTCCAGTTTTGGATATGCTGTCTGCTGTATTAGCTGCAGTAAACTCTAGTGGAGTCGTAGTGTGGGTACAATGTGTGAGCATTCCAAACCTTGTCTGAATTAGTAAATAACTCCCTTCGGGATCATACAACTCTTGCAGCCACTAGGCGCACCGAGTTAATGTGGCTTTCCCATCCTCACGAGGTACCCATTCACAGCTGGGTGGACTGGACACATAGTCACAGTACTTTGTCCAAGTTTACTGCACGTTGATGTACCCGCAACTAGGTGTTTGCACGTATTCATGTGGCCACCATCTGGTCATATACCAACGGATTCGTGGGTTCTTTTAAATGCACAGGGTTGTGTACTGTACACTAGAGGCTGTGACAACACTGAAAGAACCTGCACGCAAAGTTGACTCCAAGGTTTTTTACACCCGGTCACAGGTGGGCTCCATCCCGTCACCTCAAGTTCGCTGGATCATTAGCCTGGCGCCTTAGCCAGCTCGCCCACCACGTCCCCGATGCTGCAATGTCTACTAAACAGTTCACTTTAAGTAACTTATCAACAGAAGAATTGTGAGTGTGTCTCGATACGCTATTCATTTCTTCATACAACAAGTAAGTTTTGTTTTATCACACTTGTCACTCTTCCTTTTCTCAACAACATATACTCATGCCAATAATGGTTGTCACCCCTCCCCACCCCAACCCCACACACACCACCCCACCCCACACCCTCTCTCCAATAAAAAAAATTGAAGGGGGTGACAACCTTTAATCATTTATTTGTTATTGCTACTCAGCCTTGTCTTACTGAACGTAGGGCGGTGGGGTAGCCTAGTGTTTAAAGCGTCCGCTCGTCACGCTGAAGATCCGGGTTCGATTCCCCACATGGGTGCAATGTGTGAAGCCCATTTCTGGTGTCCCCCGCCGTGATATTGCTCGAATATTGCTAGAAGCGGCGTATAACAATACTCACACTTACTGAACGTGATCTACAGGAACATTCATTTCATATTTTTATACAATACTGACGTACTTCACACAAACTATACATTTGCTCTAACGTTGCCATTCTGGAAACTCGATATATTGACATGGGTTTTGCTATATTCGGAACATATAAGAGCAGGTCGTGTTTAGTAGTAGAAGTCTCAGCCAGGGAATATGCGCATTGGCGTTACATTTCCGAAGATTTACTTTTGGAATGAACGTTTGCATGTTATAGGGAACGTTTTTACCGAAAGGCCAATCTCGCCTCTTACGACGAGCATGGGTTACTGAGGTTTATTCCCATAACACAGTACTCCCAAAAGGCAGAATTCCCAAAAAGCAGATAAAAATAGCACACTAATTAATTGGGTCATGCTGGTTGGACCTAATTGGGCCAAATTAATGAATGGACTGGTCCACTCCCCTTCAGTAAGGGTTACCGCTATTTTAAGTCACTGAGTGTCAGTGCGCAACAACAACACTGTTTTGAAACACTGTTTAAGAATAAATCAGCTGATTCAAGCAATGTTCTCAAACACTAATACTTCCTTTCCTGGACGGCTTATTGTATGCTAAAAACAATGAATGAAAGTGTGTACTGGAGGTGTGTGGACAGATCATGCAGTGGCACATGATTGAAGTTTCGGAGAGAGCGAAATTTGCGCAGATCACGTCTTCCATCCAAGAAGGCTTGAATAACAAAGAGAAAGAACAACGCCCTGTCTGACACAAGGAACAGCTTCACCGCCGTGAAAAGACACCCCTTCAGCACCTGGATGCAGTTGGTCTACTGATTATGAGCAAGTGATGGGTATGAAAGAAAAACAGTGACTGTGATAAACTAGGAATGATTGACATTGTTGTGAGTGAGTGAGTGAGTTGGTTTTTACGCCGCTTTTAGCAATATATCTTTCGAGGGCGGTGGGGGTAGCCTTTTGGTAATTTTAAGCGTTCGCTCGTCACGCCGAAGACCCGGGTTCGATTCCTTTCATGGGTACAATATACGAGGCCCATTGTCCCCTGCTGAGATATTGCTGGAATGTTGCTAAAAGCAGCGTAAAACTAAACTCACTCACATCATCGTTCCGTGATAACAATTCACTTTTAAACCGTTACAGCCAATTCCATTTATATGTATAACGTTGTACCATGGGCCGATGGCCTACATTTACACGAATAAAGACTATACTATACTATTTATAAGTTAAAACCAATCACATATTTACTTGGGAAAATGGAACAAACAATATCCAGTTAAGCTAATTAGTTCACAGTAATTATAAACATCATATACATGCCACATTTTACGTCCCATACTTTGAGTCCAAACAATCATCTAAAGCCCTGTTCCCCGGCAGTGCACCGGTAACAAGTGAATTGAAGTAATTATACTAACGACATCCATGTTGAGGGAACGTGTCAGCTTGCGAAATAGTGTTTTATTAATTAGCCTGACCGTCAGCGTAATGAGGTTAATGGATTCTTTTGATTGGTTGGTTGGTTTTGTTTAACGCCACACTATGCAATATTCCAGCTATTTAGCAGCGGTCTGTAAATAACGAGTCTGGACAAAACAATAACTGGTCTTCGGCGACCCATGCTTGTCGTAACAGGCGACTAACGGGATCGGATGGTCAGGCATTGATCTGATCACGAGAGCATACTTAATAACTGCACAGTTTTTAGAAGAATACTGGTATCATTACATTGCATTAACTTTTTAAACTTAATGATATTTGGATATTGATCAAAATTTGGTAGATAAAAACTACGTAACATAACACATGCATCACAGACAAAATGAAAATGTAATTCATCCTCTGGGATATTATTGTTACACATTTTACATATTGTTGAGGCATAATTTTCATCTTTTCGTCTTACATTACAAAGAAGGGGTAGGTGATGAAGTCTAAGTAAACATAAATATCGTCTATATTCTTTAAAATGAACATTTAAAACATAAAACTCGACATCTAATAAAGATTTATTGGTCTTGTTGTACGCTAAATGCATTGATTCATTAATTCTACTCACTGTGGTTTGCCCCTTTACATGAAAAGCCATGCAGTTAATCACTTAACATTGAATTAAAAGTATGCAGTTAATCTATTTGTTAACTTTCTTTCGTTCTTCAAACTGATATATATATCTATAGTATTTTGCATGCAAATCTGATATAACCCTTATCTGGAGATGTGTTTCGTCCACACCGTGTTTTAACGAATTCCACAATGTGGTTGCATGCCTGGAGTACCACAAGGATCTGTCTTAGGCCCGCTGATTTTGGATTGTTTATATCAACGATATAGTTGAATTCATAGATAGTAACATCAGATTCCTTGCAGATGACACACATCACTACATGTAGTTGTTGAAGACCCTCTCACTGAAACCTGCGTTCCAAATAAAGACCTGAGTAGAAAATGCACCTGGTCCGAAAAGTGGCTTAACATCAACTCCTATTCCAAAACTGTATTTCAAACATCTTGGTCGTGTCGACCGCCTCCGTGGTGTAGTGGTTAGAGCGTCCGCCCGGAGAGCGGAAGGTTGCAGGGTCGATCCCCGACCGCGTCATACCAAAAGACGTTAAAATATGGTACTTGTCGGTCCCTGCCTGGCGCTCGGCATTAATGGGTACAACAAGGACTGGTCGGCTCGGAGTCAGTATAATGTGTCTGAGTGGGGTATTCATGCTTCACTGCGGCATGGTATCTCAGTGAGCTAGCACTATAAACCAGTTTCAGTCTGGGCTAGTACAAGCAGCCGCACATACACATACACACGCATGCACGTCGTCATGTGACCGAAATATTCTCCAGCGCGACGTTAAACCCAATTTCACCTCGCCTCTTGGTCGTGTATTCCGTGGATACTGCTCGTGAAATGACGTACTCCAATGACGTACTCCAATGACGTACTCTAATGACGTACCATGCAAAGACTGGAAACCACGTATGAATCATTTATCTGGGACAAATGCTCAAAGAAACAGTCATACATACATCACGATCTAGATGCACTTCGAACCATATGAGTGAGTGAGTGAGTAAGTTTAGTTTTACTTCGTTTTTAGCGTTTTGTAGAAAATCGAACCCGCTTAACCACTATTCTACTCCACTGCCCTTATATACAACGAAACAACCTTTAAGCCACTAAGCGGAAGAAGATACATCCACGAACTATCAGCTTTTTAAAAAGTGATCAATAATCTTGTACCTGACTATCATTGCTTGAACGTTGATAAGAATCTTACCACCGCAGAAAGAGTAAGGCGTTGCGAAGTATCAAGTGCAAAACAACAAGTTACTCTCCTTCCAGACACGGAAAAGCTTTAAGGCACTTCGCGAGACCTTAGTACTTCCGATGACAAACAACGTTTCAAACCTTCTCGAATGGTCTCATAGTTGTCAGTTGACAGTAAGGAACCGATAATCCTTGCAGGAATAACAAATTTCCGATCTAACCATCCCCAAATTAGCCAACTATTACGGCTGTCAACAGCTGTGACAGCCAAGCATGGTTGTACACTTGGTCCGATCTAGTAAATTCATTTTGGCGTTCGCGCAATTTGGAACCAGAACTGGTTCTTGAAGATACGGGGTGATTAAAGCGTTCGTTCGTCACGCCAAAGGCCCGAGTTCGATTCCCCACATGGGTACAATATGTGAAGCCCATTTCTGGCGTCCCCCGCCGTGATATTGCTGGAATATTGCTAAAAGCGGCGCAAAACCCAGCTCAATCACTCACTCACCTGAATATACGCTTGTCACCGGAATATGGTACTGGAAGTGAACTCGGCCCCGTCTCGCATATCGCAAGTTGGGTCTCGCAAAGGGAGCCGGGAACCAGCTTAGTACCGGAAGTGGTGGTGGTGGTGGTGGAATTGGGTTTAACGTCGTGCTTGAGAATATTTCTCTCATATGACGACGTGCTTGCGTGTGTATGTGTATGTGCGGCTGCTTGTACTAGCCCAGACTGAAGCTGGTTTTATAGTGCTAGCCCACTGAGATACCATGCCGCAGTGAAGCATGAATACCCCACTCAGACACATTATACTGACTCCGAGCCGACCAGTCCTTGTTGTACCCATTAATGCCGAGCGCCAGGCAGGGACCGACAAGTACCATATTTTAACGTCTTTTGGTATGACGCGGTCGGGGATCGAACCCGCGACCTTCCGCTCTCCGGGCGGACGCTCTAACCACTACACCACAGAGGCGGTAGCGCCTCACAAGACTTACAGGCCCTATAGTAGACCTACTCAATAACAATCGTGTTGGAACTGCCTTGTGTCTCTGAACAGGAACAATGTGTTCTATGGATAGACAACTTCTTTATTGCAACGGGTGCTTCGTTTCGGTGCAGATGCTACCACTGTTATCAAGCAAGTGATACCCAACATTAGGAATGTCATAGAGCAAACCATTTCAGTAAGTTTCTTTCAAACTTCATACGTTCAAACGACCTAGCTAATTGTTTCAATGTGTGTCCAAAGTAGGTCGAAACTATATCTACTTTGTCTGTTCAGTGCATGCAGCAAACATTCGGTATGTGCCCTCTTATAAACATCCTCCGGACAGGACCTTTAATTCACAATGATATCAGTAAATGTCAATTAACACCTCCCTACGTCGCCGGATCTTACGTATGTACATGTGCATAGGTCAGTGACCTTGCACAACGTGGCGTAATGTCCCTGTGTTTTAAACCTGACTGATATGATCAGTCAGAGAGACGGTCTCCGTGCACAGGTGACGGATAAGATCATCGACAGAAGCGGACGGATTGTTCGACAATGGCGTCGGCCAAGGACTACGTTGACGATGAAGAATCGCCGTCAGATTTCCGTCTGTGCTCGTAAGTGACAGAGCGGGTCTCCACACCGGGAACATTGACCACTCGGTCCCGGTGTGCGTTCTGTCACGTTATTACCATCAACTTGTACCATTTTGACCATTACTCCCCAACCATAATAAACTTGGCTGCTGTCATCATCAACTCTACCGCTGACCTTTTGTCTTTCGTCCGTCCAACATCCTGAACTACCTTCCGAGAGAGTACCCCCCAGCGTACGCTCTTTGTCATAAACAAGGGGCATATATACATGAAGGATATTAGAGCTTATACAGTTAGCTTGTGTGTATGGTCTGGGGAACACACGTCAATGGGCAGCCCATTAAGTATAGATTTACGTAGTTGTTTATTCTTACGGTTCGTTATTTCTGTGATTGATCAATGTGTCTCTAACTTGAACGGCTCACGCAAAGGTCAAGGTCATTCGTTGTGGATCTCGGCAAGTTAAACACGCGTTTTCAACGGGTGCTCAACCTGTGCGCAAGACGCTGAACGTCAGAGAGGGAGAGAGAGAGAGAGAGAGAGGGAGGGAGAGAGAGAGAGAGAGACTGAAGGGGTGAGGGATTTATCTTCTAGGCAGTAGTGTATGATATCACTTCTGGTTCTTCTTAAGTAGAGTAAACAATTCGAATTTGGACCAGGCAATCCAGTGATTGGCACCATGCGTTACCATGGCAGGCCAAATGTTTATGAATCACAGTGAATCATAATGCTAGGACGTGATACCACATGGCACCCGTCATGTACATATCCTAAGTCTAGTCAATTGTTCCCCTAAAATATTTCGGGAATGCATGGTGTAAGTCAAAGTAGGGGATCAAAACCGACGAGGACAAGCCTCCTCTCTGAATCCCTCTTTGTAAAGCACTCACCGTCAAGCATATGTTGCTTGACTGGGTCAACTTCGCAGTTGTAATGGATTCACATCATCAAGCAATATTTGAAAGAAATTTGACGTTATCATAAACTGTAAATATGTATGTGTGTATAACACAGTGCTTGTTTTAAAATTTGAGCTCATAGCCCCTGTATCAAATAGTAAATGCTCTCGGTATAGCCCATGTTATAAATTGTAAAAAGATATTGCCATTGCCCGTGTTTTATGTTGAAAAGAATGTTGCTATAGTCCAGGGCCCCGTTCCTCAAAGCGATCGTAGCGCTACGACTGTCGTAAGTCTATGTTAAAGTATGGGAGTTACGATCACCTTAGCGCTACGATCGCTTTCAGGAACGGGGCCCAAGACAATACCATTGTAATGCTAAATTGTGTCTATTCAAACTTGTGTTTACTTGTGTATGGGGGGTGGGGTGGGGTGGGGTGTGTGAGCGTGGTTACCATTGTGGTTCGCTCGACACGCTCGTCACATGGGTACAGTGTGTGAAGTCCATTCCTGGGGTCCCCCGCCGTGATATTCCTGGAATGTTGCTAAAAGCGGAGTTAAACTACGGTTCTGACGAATTCAACAGGGAGTACTCAGGGATCGTTCATAATTTATGGCTAGAGGGGTGATGATGATTTTTATGGAGAAGCATGTACAATGTGAATGATTCCCCTCCCCACCCCGCCTAAAATTTATGCACGAAATAAGCGACCCCCCTGCATGTCATGTACAAACTCAATGACCCCCCTCCTCCCATAATTTCTAAGCATAGTATGTAACAAATTTGTATGTACAAAATTGCTGCCCCACCCCTAGTACATGTGTACAAAATTGCTGACACCCACCCCTAGCTCCCCAGAACAAAATGGTGTACCCAATTAAAATCATCATCACCCCCACCACCATCACCACCACCCCCACCCCACCCCCACCCCCCGCCATAAATTATTGACAGTCCCTGATTCGAGTTCGTTATAACGGCAGTTCCTTAGACGCATTTCGATTTAAAGTTACATCGAGTTTCAGAACAAACCAGTTCGTTATATCCGCGAGTTCGACAAAAGCGTGTTAATACTCAGATGTTATTGTAACTGAAATTCTGAAAGCGGAATAAATCACAACTCGTACGTGAACTCTTTTCAGTTGTTTAGAGTGAGTCAGTCAGTCAGTCAGTCAGTCAGTCAGTCAGTCAGTCAGTCAATTCAGTTTTACTCCGCTTTTAGCAATATTCCAGCAATATCACGGCGCGGGGACATCAGAAATGGGTTCACGCATATTACCATGTAGGGAATCGAACCCGGGTCTTCAGCGTAACGAACGAACGCTTCAACCACCTGTTTAGAGCTAGGATCCGTTGGAGACACCAGAATAGCTGAACTTCGATTGAGATCCTGTCTCTTGGAACGCTTCGTATAATATTACCTGCAAGCACTGAGACGTAATTGGTTTATATTGAGTTTATACACCATATTGTTTTCCACCACGATGGTGATGGTGTTGTACAAATACGTTACATCGATAGACAGATAGAATATGTGTGGGTTTATTGGCCATGCTTATGGAATACTAGAAGGGACATTGTCGCGTTGTCGCATTGTCGCGTTGTCGCCCTCTCAAATACAAGCAAAATTAAACAAAACGCGACACGCGACATCGCGACAACGCGACATTTCGCCCATTTGTCGCATTGCCGCGATGTCGCGTGTCGCGTTTAGAATAATATATTTTTCATTCCTCCAAAGGGCGACGCGACATAGCGACAATTTTCAAGGTCAAAATATGTCGCGTTGTCGCGCGTCGCCCTATGTAAGATATCTGTAAAACAGCCTAAAAATTTACTAAAACGCGACACGCGACAATGCGACAACGCGACATTTCATCAAAATGTCGCGTTGTCGCATTGTCGCGCTTTGTTAAAATATTGAGTATAGTATGTATTATAACATATGACTAAAACGCGACGCGCGACAATGCGACATATTATATGTCGCATTGTCGCGTCGTCGCGTTTTCGCCCTTTCGATTTACCGG